CTGCTCGTGTAAAGACTGTAGCCTGGAAAATTGTCACCTGACTTGCCATGCTTCAGAACTGAGTGGACAGCAGCTAACAGCACCACCAGTCCAGATGAGAAGTGGGAGACAAAAGATGGGTGATGAGTAGTATCAGCAGCAAGAAATTATGGGCAGGGGACCAGGGATGAAGGAAGAGCAAGGATGGATGATACCCAAGAACCCGGTGGCCCTGAAATTATGCCCAGGCAGTGGCCTCTGTCAGCAGGCACAGGGGAATACATGCTGTAGCCATCCAGTGAGGGTCTGGGGAACTGAAATTTTAGACTTGACTTTAAAAGGCCCTGCACCCCCATCCACACTTCCACACTCCATCCACTCCCTCTTCCTGGCCTGACAGTCATGCACAAGTATTTTAATAGCAATGCTTTGCATTTAGAGATTAAAAGCCTTATACAAGTGCTGCAGGAAGAAAAATCAAGCAAGCATTGTTTTGGGATGTGGATTAGACAAGGAGCTCAGAAGGGGAGACGCTGGCAATCCCTGTGATTAGTCGTGTGATCTTCATGAGAACGTCCCTCCCCTCTCCCACGGAGCAGTGCACCCGGAGCTCACGAGCCTGAGCCTGGGTCTCGTCTCCAAGAGTCCCCTTCATCGTGTATAACAAGGCCCTTCTCGCTGCTTATGTCCATTCCACTCTCACAACGTGGCTTCTCATACCAGTTTCCTTCAACGTGGCCCAAGAGAACGATCAGACAAATGGGAGAGAGAAGACTCCACCAAACACCTGTCTTTGAAAGCTGGAGCTACATGGACGTGGCCCTTCAGAGAGAAAAAAGTGAAATGTATGTGCACATCAGGATAAGAAGGGCACAGAGCTGCACCTGGATGGGATAAGTTCCACGCCTTAAAACGTTAGAAACATGGTAAAAAAAAAAAAAAGGGTCTCCTCTTCCTTATACTTAATACTGTTAGCTAAACAATATAATTCTTCCTAATCAAATAACCACTGAAATAATGGATTCATTTTGTGCCCAACAGCTGGGGTTGTCACTGGTGTTCCCAGCCAAAGCTGAACACAAACACAATAGGAAAGACAGAAACAGCTGCAAACTCATTGGTGAAAAAAACACACAAAACCAAATCCACAAAAAAAAAACACCCCACCACCCCCCAAGCCAATCCAACACACAACCATAGAGCAGCCTGGCCTTAAGGCTTCAGTGTAGGAAGGAAGTAAAATCATTTTTCTGTTCCTTTTCACGTACGGCAGCTGCCATGGGGAAAGGAAAAAGGAAAGTCTATTCTATTTTGTGACAGCAACGCCATTGTATGTACTAGAACATGAGTTGGAGGAACTAAGGTCTGGCTGCAGATTGAGAACTTTGGGGCAGTCAAAACATTACAGAACTCGGGCGGTTGTAACAGATCGGATGGATTAAGCTGGGAGGTCCTATATCTTCACTCCACACTCCTGGCTCCTCCCCCAACATTATGTGCTGTAAACACACTGGATTTCAGTGATGTTCACGCCGTTTGATCCGTCCAATGCTTTAGGCTTGTTTATATAAAATGGAGCTGCACAGAATTCTCTGAGGCAAGCATCAAGAGAGAAAGAGTCTCTGTGGGCTTGAGCAGTCTATGTGACACCTTTATTATTATAGGCATTTGCTTTGCTCCTCCTGGTAAAACGTGAGTGAGCGCCTTGAAGGCTGATTCTGTGTCACTTTTTCCTTTGCTTCTTTCATCTGCCAGAAAAGCACAATGAGGCAGGTTTCCAGTACAGATCGGATAAAGGAAAAAACCACCGAAAATCAAAACAAAAGAGTGACACGAGTGTTCGTCCTAAGATAGGTTTCTACTTCTTTTTACTTTGAAGGTTTGACAATACAGGTAGTGCCACACCATCACTTGTGTTAGGAAAATGCTGGGCAGAAAGAGTAAAGCAGGTCCCACAGCATTTCTGTGCTAGTGAGTCTAAAGCAGGATCTATCACTGCACTGGTCGTATCTGCCTTGCAGGGGAATGTACTGTTATTCAAGCAATCTGTTTTGAAATGGGGTTTCAGTATGAACTTTAGAGTCTGGACTTAGGCCAGGAATATTCTGATGTGGAAAAAAGTGTCAAGCTTAAGGGGACCGTATAAAGGTTATTAATATGAAAGTGGACTGGTGAGGTAATAATTTAGGGGGGGAAGAAGAGAGAAAAGCAGAAATAAAGATAAAAGGAACCAAGGTCATGAGTTTCTCACAGTAGTTAAGAGATGTGAGTTTTGTTTATCTTTCTTCTATTTCTTTAGAGTTCTACAATTGCTATCAATGTATATTAGAAACACAAACTGTACATTTTACAAGCATACCTAGATGCTCCCGGTCATGTTCCAAACACATTAGAGTGCATGTTTATGGGGGGGAGCTGTGTACCCCTGCTTTGCATGAGATTTCAGGATAGAATTATAATGGTGAAGACAGTTAAGCTGCTGGGTAAGGATGTTGGGATGGGAGAGACAGAGGAGGAAGTGATACAGTGCAATTTATTCTGAAGCTATGTGAGTGGGGGAGACCAGCGGAGAAATATCCACATAACAGGAACTATATGGTTAGTCTTGAACTAAAGAAAACAATGACCTAACACCAAACTCATTGCCGTCAAGTTGATTCCAACTTGGACGGGTAGCTAGGACAGAGCAGAATTGCCCCACAGGTGTTTCTGAGGCTGTAAATCTTTATGAGGTAGATTGTGATATCTTCATTCTGTGGAGGAGGACAGTGGGTTTGAACCACAGAGGTCTCAGTTAGCAACTGGACACTTAACTGCTGTGTCATTAAGACTCTGGAGTTTTGAGCTAGGGTGGTTTTACTGACATGTCTTATGACTTGGAAATAATTCTACCATGTCCACTACTAATACAGGGGAAAAAAGTAATCAGCAGGTTTTACAATATGGCAATGAGCAATTTGGAGACTTTTATAAAGACTTTAAAAAAAACAAACAATCCAAACAAAACCAAACATCCAAACAAACCAAACTTTCAAGCCTCAAACTCATTGCAATTGAGTTGAAACCAACTCACAGCTTGACCCTCCAGTGTCTTTCCTGTGCCTGTGGACAGCATGGGAGGAGTCCGCCCATCTTTTCTCGTGCAGTGGTTGGTGGATTGGAATTGCCTGACAGGCGCTTTGCGGTAGCAGCACAACTCCCTACGGTTACAGCATCAGAGTTCCCCTTTTTAAAATTTTATTTTTACTATTATTTTGTGTTAGACGGAGCCTCAGAATCCTCGCCTCCAAGGAGCCACCCGGTTTAACCCTTTCCAGAACAAATCTGTTTGTTTTCCTAGCAGTCCACGGTATTCTCAATACTCTTCTCCAGCACCACAGCTCAAAGGCATCAATTCTCCTTCTATCCTTCTTGGTCATTGTCCAACTCTCTGATGCATAACAAGTGATTGCGAAGACCATGGCCTATATCAGACGCACCTTAGTCTCCAGAGAGACACCATTGCTCCTCAGCACTTTGGAGAGGTCCCTAACAGCAGACTTTCCCGTGGCAATGCGCCTTTTAATTTCCTGGCTGCTGGTGCCAAGACTGTTGACTATGGAGCCAAGCAAACTAAACTGTCTAACATACTTTGGACATGTTGTGAGGAGAGACTGGTCCTTAGAGAGGGACATCATGCTTGGGAGGGTGGAGGGACGGCGCAGGAGAGGAAGGCCCTCTATGAGGTGGATTGATTCATTGACTGGGATAATTGGGATGGGAGTGTTGGAGACAGTGCGATTGGCACAGGACAGAGCGGAGTTTAGGGCTGTTGTACATAGGGTCGCTATGAGTCGCAGGCAACAACAACAACAACAACAACAACAACATTATTTTGTGTGTGTGTATCGTCAAATAGGATCTGATGGTACAGGAGATTGTCCCTCCTTCTCCAGCAGAGCATCTGGTGGATGTGAATGGCTCTCCTCTGGGACTGCAGTGCAGCTTCTTGCCACTAGGCCACCAGAGCTCGCCCACAGTTCCCTTTTTTTATAAAGACAGGTGTGATAAAAGCATTTTCATAAAAACACCCAGAGATACAGAAAATATAGGTGGACAAGATACAGGAAAACATCATCATGACTGTTTATCAGAAGTCACTGCTTGATAAGAACATTAATTTTATCAGGTGATTATGAAATAAGGTCTGTCTTTAAGATACCTTTCTAGCACTCATAGAAATGAAACATTTTCACAGATGCCATTGTCATTTTGCCTTAATCAAGCATCTGCTAATGAATGAACTCCTGCTGAAGGCACTGCCCAGTAGCTATCCAAGCAGTAAAACAGATTCAGCACAAGAGCATTTTCATTTCTGCAAAATGCTAGGGTTCCTGTATCTAGGAAACAAGATAACTTCAATCAAGCCTGAAATGTGAACATTTGGATAAAAATGTAATTGTTATCCATGAAAAACATTTGCTAACAAATTTGGATTTTTATTTTAAATTATTTCAACTTCTTTGTGTCTGACCTCATAATTTTGCAAAATCAGAGGGGCTGGAGTTACAACGGGATTTTGTGAATAATACCCCTTCCTGACTTCTGCCAATGTGTCTCAATCATGTGATTCTTCTCCGGGAGAGAACAGTTCACACAATACCTCTCCTTTGATCTGTAGCTTCCCTTGAAATAAGAAAACATTGCTTAGAAGGGTTTTAATTGTTTAATTTTCTTTCTAATCATGTGATAGAAATTATGAATGGGAAAAAAAACCCTACAAAAACCCAAAACCCAAATCATGGTGGACACAAAATTAAAGCAACCACATTCAAAACGAAGGCGTGAAGAGCTTAACAAAAGTAGGGCATGCACTTCATAAAAGAAGGTCAGGCTTCATTGCCTGGCTTTCAATCTGTGTCTCTAATTTCTCTGCTGATATTTACTTAATAGTATTTGCAAACACCTCACTGTAAAATGGCAACACATTAATTACACGAAACCAGATCACACAGCCAAAGCCATTCTCAGGAAGCATTTACCTGCATGAAGCGACCCTCTGACGTCCCAAGGTTCGCGATCGTGAGGTCTCCCTTAATGAAGGTGGAGATGGATGTTAAGAGCACGTGGTTGAATTGGCCCATAAATAAGTCAACTCGCTGCAAAGCTGTGGTAAACTCCGTCCGGTACTCATCGCTATGCACTTCACAGCCTGAGGAATTTCTCAAAAGCGTCTGGAATAAAATAGGGCCATAGAATTAGTGCGTGTCCAGATGCAAAGAAGCCGGTAAGAAACTCTCCAGTGTGTCTTATCAGCGCTTGGTGGGGAACAGCAAGAATAACTGTACAAACAGACAAACAGCCCCAGGCAGACAAGAAGTAGTTATTGTGACCAAAATGGCTCAGGTTTCACCGGGCACTATTACATGAACTGATTCTAAAACTGGGGAAGGTTTATCACAATTTACACAGTGATTCAACATGTGCATGCCAGCACAGCATACAGCTCCCACTACAAACACAGAACTTGAAATTGAAAGCAATACGTCCCAGAGACAAGTCCAATTAGATAGATTTCACCTGCAAGAAAAGATGTTATAGCCATACTAAACCATCTATTGAAAAGAGTGTGTGTGTGTGTGTGTGTGTGTGTGTGTGTGTGTACACACATTTGTGTGAAGAGGAGGGCAGGGAGGAGTATTTGATAGAAAATTCATGGGGAAGGAGCCAAGTAGAGACGCCTGGTCCACACGATTTACCAAATCCCGGTTCCTATCGTTTTCTCATGGTGGCACTGATGGCTCAAGGGCAGAATTCTCCCTTCCACGTGGAAGAGAGCAGCTGGATTCCTGGACAAATGATGTACTTCTTGTGCAGTTACCACCTGTCTATCATTGGGGGCTGACGTGTTGCTATAATGCTGAATGAGTCTCAGCAGAACTTCCAGACTCAGTTGACTAGAAAGAAATGTCTGATGATCTAGTCCCTAAAACCTAGCAGTGAAAACCCTGTGAGTGACAGTCGTGCGATCTGTAGCTGCTCAAGGGGGGAGTGCTGGAGACAAAGCACTTTGTTCTGCTATGCACAGAAGCCACCAGGAGTTGGGAGTGGATGTGAGTTCACTTAAGTATTAGGCAAGCATGTCGTTGTTGCTGTGTGTGTGGAGCTGGAACAGACCCACAGCTGACCTCCGGCACGTTTTCAGAGGCAGTAAATTGCATGGGAGGAGACTGACCATTCTCCTTCAGAGCAGCTGGTGGATTTGAACTTGTTTTTTTTTGGTTCTTTTTTGTTTAGGATTATAGTGCAGCTTCTTATCACTAGACCACCAGAACTTGTTTCATTCTGCCAAATGCTAATACCACTTGTGAGACCTTCTTCCTTAAAGTCAAATGTCTGTCATATGGAATGCAAAGTTCTTACCCACACTTAGTGCCTTTTATGGCAAACATGACTTAAGATATGTTAACTTTATTTTAAATGGCAATGCATTAATATGCTCTCTCCTATAATCAATGCAATATTTTCATTATAGACATTTCTTTGATACATAAATGAATTCTATTTGATTAAGCACTCTTCTTTACTAAACTACTATAGATTACTCTGAGGAGTAGCAGAAAATGGAGATGTACCAAAAATTTAATAGTAACCAATTAATTGGTGGGTAATTAGGTTTGTATTGGTGATCAATCATTCATTTTGCAGAGGACTAAGCCCATTTAAGCCAGGACTAAGTAAAGCTGTTTCAAACAGTCAAAGACTCATTTTAAATGGAAGGCCATGGGAAGGATCTCAGTCAGAAACTGTTTATTCCTCAGGGGCCAGGCTTTGTACCTCACTGTTCATTTCTAGTTCCTTCTTTATCTCCTTCTCCAGGTTGAAGAGCATCTGAGGAACTTTAAAGCCTTCAGCGTGAACCAGAATTCAGCGCTAGTGGAGATATTATAAGGACCCTGGCGGTGCTAAACAAGGGTCATCGTATGAACCCAGCCAACTTTGTGGGAGAAAGAGGTAGAATCTATTTGAGGGGATGATGTGAAAACAATTTGCTGGGTGTGGTATTTCAACTCTGAATGTAAATAATTTAAAACTAACCAATCAAAACTCAAAAATGCCGTAATAGATTCTGACTTCTGACTCACATAAAGCTCAGTGTGTCAAAGTAGATTTGGGCTCCACACTTTTCAGTGGCTGATTTTTTTGGGTGCCACGCACCAGATCTTTATTCAGAGGCATCTTTGGGTGGACTCTAATTCTCCTCTTTCTGTTAACAGCTCAATGTACCAACCCTGTGTGCTGCTGGGCCTCCTGTAAACGAGCTGTGGTCTCCTACCCACAAAGGACAGGGATCACTGTATTCCTATTGATCCCTAATGCCATGTATCACACCCAGTAAACCGTATTTAAAAACAGCTTGCTGAATAAACGCTGCATCTGCAAAGTGATCAGAGAGAAAACCTACTCCCTACCCAGCTTGCTCCGAGGTCTGTTGGGCTGAAAGGCATGATGCCCAGAGGAGTCCTGATACACTCAATGACCGAGGGCAGGCTGGTTAGAGTAACATGCAAGCATCACCCCCAAAGTGTCAGAGCACTAGCTGGAAAGGGAGCAACGTGGCCAGAATGTATGTGTCTCTGTCTGCTCCACACTCGATGGGCACTGTATCAGGCTCCAAACAAAACCAACAAGATAAATACCTACATTGAGAAATTTGAAGAAGATTCGAGGAGCTGACCCAAATAATTTTGGAAGGTGCCAAGCCCAAAAATCTCTAAGGCAGGCCAGTAAGAAGAAAATTCTGGTAGGATTTTGGGTTAAAGTTTCAGGGTAGATAGAATTCCTTCACCTCTTAGAAACTTCAGTATTTTTCTCTGAAGGCATCCAACTGATTAGATGAAGACTACTCATATCAATGAGAATAATCTTTGCTTTAAGTCAACTGATTCTAGATGTTAACAGCATCTACAAAATTCCTTCACAGTCATACCTAGATTGTTGTTTTTGTTGATTGCTTTCAACTCGAGCACGACTCATAGCGACCCTATGAACAAAAGGTCTGAAGCCCCTCTACAACTATCAACATTTATGAAAGTTCACAGAGTTGCCAGAGGCATATTATTTAGGAAGTGGATGCCACTCCTGCTTCCAAATATCTAGATTAGGGTACTATTAAATAACTGGGTGAGAAGGTGAAACCAGGCTGCTCCTTGGAGGCAAGGATTCTGAAGCTCCGTCTAACATATTTTGGGTATGCTGCAAGGGACTTTTACTTGGAGAGGGAGGGAGATCATGCTTCGGAGGGTGGAGGGACAGTGCAGGAGAGGAAGACCCTGGATGAAATGGACTGACTCAGTGACTGTGGTCATGGGAGGTAGGTTTGCCAGAGACAATGAGGTTGGATCAGGATAGAGCAGGATTCAGAGCTGTCGTACATAGAGTCGCTATGAGTCCTTGATGGCACAACTCAACAATGACACATACAAACAGTAACAACACAACAATAACAGTTACCAAGGAGCCCTGGAGGCTCAGTGCGTAACTGCTGAAGCTGTTAACCAAAAGATCAATGTTGAAATCTGCCAGCAGTTTCCTCTGGTAAAGATTTACAGGCTTGCAAACCTGGAGGAGGGTCACCGTGAGTTAGAAATACCTTGATGACAGTAAGTTTGGCTTTTGGTTATAGATTGCCATGAGTTATACTAGATTCAATAGCAACTTTACCCCTTTATTAAGGGGGAAAAATAGCCTGTCAAATAAGTTGACATACAAACTTAACCAACACAGACATTAATGCAGAACTCTGTAGCAGGATTAATTTGAGATTTATAGTGAGTAGTTTAAGACTTATCCTTCAGAAAACAACAAGATCTTGAAATGGCACCACTTCAATGGCTAAGAGGATTAAGTTGTGTCTTGCTATCCCTCATATAAACTCCTAAGAATAGAAACATTGCACAATGTTGGAATAAGATTTATAGAACTGCTTGAGCTTCAGAAATTGTGCAACTTAGGGGCCTTAAAAGAACCATCATGTCCAACTTAAGTGGCATGGCACTCAACTTTCACAAACCAGGGAATCCAACCTTTATCTTTTCATGTTTCCCAAAAGTGCATTCAGCAGAGGTTCGGGGGAAAGTAACATTCCAGCACCCCCCGCAGGAGACAGGATTATTCCTTGTCTTTCCTGCTAAGATAAACTCAATGGCTGGGGCTAGGGTGGCAGAAACTGAGTCTTGAGTTTTAACAGTGGAACATCACTTTACGGGAAGTCTTAAAATCTGAGCATTGCACAGGGAAAACATTGTGAAACAGAACTCTGTCTCAGTCTAACTTGGGGCCCCGGAAGACAAAGGGTGAAGATGTTTGATGCCTACTGTCCATCTGGGGTAGGGAAATGGTACTGCTTCTCCTCATCACCCACTCCCAGGGGCCCCTTGCTATTTGTGCTTCTTTAAAAAAAAAAAAAGTCATCTTATTTCTTGGAGCAAAACTGAGTGTTGTTGCTAGGAGCTGTAGTGTCCTTTGTCATAGATAGTAGTGACTAAGTGACTAAGTCACTTAGTGACTAAGTGCTGTCTGCAGGATTTCTTTGTTTGTAATCTTCCAGGAGCAGATCACCAGGTCTTTCAATCTCAGAGCCTCTAGTGGGTTCAAACAGCTCACCTTTCTTTTAACAGTCAAACACTCACCCATTGTGCTTCTTTTCTTTTTCATTTAAAAATACATCTTCGAAATGGTTTTTTTATGAATACACGAAAAGTTTCTTTATTCTTTTGTTTTGGTCACTCACTTGTACCAGTAGGGCTCCTTAAACTGGGCAAAACTGGAGGAAAGCACTTCTTCGGCCCAGTGGCTGCTTTGGGGAACCACAGAAGAGTCCACGGGGACGGTTCCAGTCACTAATCCTCTCTTATTGGTAACAAAGGGAGGAAGGAGGAAGGGAGGGAGAGAGGAAATCAATCTTTACGCTGAACGTACTATGTGCCAGGCGTCCCACTGGCTATTTCCAGGAACAAGACTCATAGCAATCCTCTGAGCTGTTAGCTCACTCACATCCCTTAGATTTAGGGATGCGGAGGCTCAGGGCCACCAGGGTGCCAGCCACAGCTGCTCCAGTCACCCTGGACTGGTAATAGCATCCATTTCTCTGAGATTCTCAAGCTTCTGGGTTTGGGGTTTGTTTTTGTGTGTGGTGTTTTTTGTTTTTTGGGCTTCCCCCCCCCCTTTTTTT